AATGGGAGTCGGAGTGTGGGGAAGGTGGGGGCCCGTGGGCTTCTCGGATCCCAGGGAATGAAGCTGAAACGTTCGGGTTTATTTATCCCATCGCGCCCCTGCCTCGGCTGGGGCGGAAAGGGCCCGGTGAGGGTTTTCCCCCTTGTTTGCACACAGACGCAGGGACCAGACAGGGACATGAGAGTGGTTTTCCCCAGCAAATATCCCCCTCCAGCCTGGATTCGGGGCTCACTCGTGTGCCAAGACTCGCGGGAAGCAGCGTATGGGGGCGGCTCTTGCCGTCTGTCCCGGGTTTACTCATGTTTTGGGTTCAATCCCACTGTTTTGGCCATTCCTCCCCGTGTGCCGCCGAGGCGTTGCTGTCAGGGCGGTGTCGGCTCTGTTTCTCCGCGCTGGCGGTGCCTGGCAGAGTTTGTGGAGTTCTGGGGATGGGTTTTGCTTCCTGAGCCTTTCCCAGTCTATATTAACGAAGTGTTTTTCCAGCCAAGCCGAGATTAGTCAGCGCTGGAAGAGCTGCTGCAGGGGCAGCCCTGGAGCTAGACCGTGCCCAGCAGGTTCCTGACGTTTTACCCACAGCATTTGGCATTCCCTCTGACTTGGGTGGGTAAGCCTTGTGTTTTAGTGTGGGAGGTTGGTGTTGAGGGGGAAGCAGTCTCAGAAGAGAGGTAGAAAATCCAAGTGAGGTGGATTTCCTTGAAAGAATGAACTCTTGATTTTGGGCAGGTAGAAAGAGAAACTACCTCATGTGAAGCCTCTGTGCTCCAGCAAACCCCCTGTGCCTGTGTCACAGCCACCAGGAGCACCTGGAGTTGGGATCATCTCCTGTGTGTGGAACTCAGCAGTGGCTTCCACATCTCCAGGCATGAACTGGAGCATAAACTCCTTGCTGTCAGCTTTGTTCCTCATGTCACAGCAACCTGCAGCTCTGGGTCTTTTTCAGGGTAATGAGGGGTCACTTCTCTGCTTATTTTGTGCTGGGTGTTCCCTCATTTTGGAAGAACTTTGCAGTTAGAGGTTCCGCAGTTGACTTGCTGTGGGGTTTGGGTGCTGCCAGCCCCAGGGAGCAGCGCTGTGCTTTTGTAGCCACCTCTGCTTTCCTTCTGCTCATCCATCTGCCACTCGTGCATCATCCTGCTCTGCGTCATGTCGTGTTTTCTAGGCAATGATTTATCACTCCTTACTCCTCACTTTCTGCCTGGTATTTGTGAGGTGTTCTGAGGACCTTCAGTGGGGAGAACAGGTTGGGCATCAGGAGGAATTTCTTCAAGGAAAGGGCTGTCAGGCATTGGAAGGGTCTGTCCTGATTCCTGCCAGTGTTCAGGTAACAACTGGACATGGCACTCAGTAGACAAGGTGGTGATGGTTCACAGGTTGGACTCGGTGATCTTGGAGGTCTTTTCCAACCTCAGTGATTCTGTGAGAATGTTATAAAAATACAAGTTTCAGTGAAGCAGCTTATTGTGTTGAAGGATTTTTGCATTCTTAACCACAAACAGTCAGTTTTACATCTACCAAACTTGAGAGTTTTCTGCCCTTTCCCGATAACCAGGGCGTGTGTCACGTGAAAGGTGTCATGTTGGCACTAGAGAGGATGAATTTCATTGTAAGGGTCGTGCAGGGTAGAGTAAAGCACTGCTGTGTGCAGAGGAGGGTTCATCTCAGCCTTGTTCTCTGCTGGTTTGGGAAGTGGATTCTGGGTGCTGCGGTTTGGGGTGGAGCTGTGAGGTGCAGGGAGGGGTGAGGGACAGCTTCGTTCGCAGGTCAGTGTGAGATAACAAAGGTGGCTGCTGGTGGCTGTGGTGATAAGAGGATCTGGGCGAGGAGAAGGGAAATAATTTGGCTCACTATGGTCTTCTCCACACATTGATGCCGTGGCTTTTTGGTAGAGAGGCAGAGCCATGTTCTAGTGGTTCTGACAGCACCATTCATTCCCTTTGTTTCCCTTTCTCTACGCACGCTCCATGTTTTGTCCTTGGCTGTGCCCAGAAATATTTGATGGGTTCTGTGTTTGGCTGCCAGTGATATCCTGCACTCCTAATTGGGTTCCCTGCTCCATGAGGAGGTTCTGCCTGTGGCATGAGGCACAGTCCAATGGCTATGGGATGTTGGTGCCTACATCCCTGCCTGGGTCACCTCCGGAAGAGCCCATGTCCAGTATCTGCCAGCCTGCAAACTGCCACAAGCCAGATAATCAAAAGACAGCAAAATCCAATCATTTTGTTCTAAGAGCAGAGCAGAACGGGTCAGGAGTGGATTAATCCATGCTGCTAATGGACAGGAGCTTAATTCATTGTCTGGGATGGAAGGCTGAACACTCATAAATCCAATCCCAGCAAGATGACAGAGGTAAAACCTCACTTAAACTGATTAACTTGTCTCATGCAGAGTGTCTGCACAGGGTTCCTGCCATTTCAGATTCGGGTGTGCAGCTGGGATTTATTACACCCTTGCTGTCTCTGCAGCGTTCCTGAGTTGGGCTGGTAATGTGAGAGGCTGTGCCGGGGCTCTTCCCATCACCAGCTGACCTTGGTTATACTGGGATGTCTTGTAGAGTAGGGACTGCACCCCAGTGTCGCTGTGTGCTTTAGAAGGGACCCAGGCTGTGCAGTACCACCAGTACTGTGCACTGTGGTGTTAGTGAGAAGGCAGGAAGTTTGTGCTCATTCCTATGAGTGTTTCTCTGTGGTGGCTCTGATTGCAAAATTCTGGTGATTTTTGCTCCTTCTGTCTTGTCTTGCTCTGACACTGCTGCTGGTGATGGGTCTCCACTGTTGGAATGCAATAGTGAGAGTCTGCGTGAGATTTTGGAGTTGCTGGAGTGAAACACTGGAAGTCTGTAATGCCTTCCAGACCTTAAGACACGTAGTAATTGGGCTTTTTGGGATTGTGTTGGATCTTGCCTGTGTAATGACATCAGGCAGAGTCGCAGCTCATCCACGCGGGACCAGGAAAGCTTCTCCCATGCGGCTCAGCCAGTCCCAACCTGTGGCAAACCTGTTGTTCCTGAATTTGCCTTTTCCACCCCGGAGAGACGCTAAACGAGGTGGTAAACTGATCGTGTGCCTGACAGGTTTAGGCTGAGTTCTCCAATGCTTCTTGCTCTGGAGTCCTGCCAGGGGCAGGAGGCGGCTGAACCCATCTGCCTTGTCTTGCCGTGCTCTGACCAAGGCACAGACACCGTCCTGTGGGCAGATGCTGGAAACTTTAATTCCCATGAAGCACAGCTTTGGTTTACTTTTTCTGCTTCCCTGTAACTTAGGGCACCTGTAGGTATTACAGGTCCAGTGCTAAGAGAAATGTTCCCATGGATATTATTCACCTTTTTCTCAATGTTTCTGTGTTTAATCTGCGGACCCTTCCTTAGGTTAATTAATTGTTAAGTCAGGTTATCAAATTAGAAATCAATGTGACTCTGTTTTACAGTCACAAGAAGTTAATTCCCAGCACGGACTGATGGCATTCTCAGGAGCAGTGTCTTTGGGTGCTCCGAGCCTGGATAGAGTTACGTCACTGGCGTGAGCTGGAAAGCACTGTGCTAATGACTGAAGTCCCAGTAGAACTGGTTATTCTGGAGAGCTGTGTTGCGGGAAGAGGCAGAGAGCATGGGCTGGATCACCCCTGGACCTGCCTGCACGGTCGGTCCGGGGTCAGCCCGTGCTTACCTGGGGGCGAGTTACGCTGCAGAAGACATCCATGACTTGTGTAATTGTAGAGATTGGAGTTTGGTAATG